TTTAACGAGTTACTTTTAAAAATCGGTAACTAGTAACGGTAACTTGTTACTTTTCCTACTCGGTAACGAGTAACTGTAACTTGTTACTTTTAAAAATTAACTTTCCATTCCCTGGTATAAATATATGTCAAATTCTATAAACATACATATAATCGATCAATAACCCAACCATAAAATTCATAAAATACTTACAAATACGAGCATAACGAAAAATGCGGCTAGGTATGATGTTCGTGCCATCCACATGCTCACAAATCGATAATGTTCTCCCGTCACGACGTTCCTATCAAAGCGATCAAAGTATTAAAAAAATTGTTTTTCATCTCAATCTCTGCGAACTTCTAATACGTTTTAATGCATCTTTATCATTAAATAACCATCATTGTATTCAACGTAAAAGTCATACTTACCGTAAAAATCCTTTGTTGTCTTCATGTTCTGCTAGTGTCTTGATACTTGCCATCAACAAATCGTCATATCCCAAAAATTCATCTAATATTAACCGTGAAAATGCATCACCAAAACATTTGTCGTTTAATGGATCTAAAGTGACAATTTTGACTGGAATGTTTAGTCTTTGTCGAGCGGCTGGTGATAATCGTAAGAAACCATATTCCAATGAATATTCTACAATATATCCATCTTCTAGAAATATAACAAAAAAACTGCATTAGTAAAAAAGTTGACTTTTATTTATATATAAATATATATTTTATATTCATATTAAAAAACATTTTTATATTAAAACCAGGGTTGGCAACGTTACCTCATAAAAATAACTCGCCGTTACCATTACCGTTCTTTTTCCTAAAAAGTAATTCGGTATTGTTACTCGTTATTGATTTCCAAAAGTAACTTGTTACTGTTACTGGCATTCAAAATGTAATAAATCGTTACTTTTTTTTCTTGACACTGATAGAATATTACAGCGTTTTTCATTGGCAGAACTCAGTACACATAAAAGCCGTTGTACACTATTTTAATCTGAATGTAAAAATGAGATATCTCAATTAATAAAATGCCCAAAGTATATTTTATCAAATAGCATAATAAAATGTATAGAGGACTTTAACTCGTTTTTATATTTTTATTAAACATACATCTTTACGTCGATTTGTGTACAACGGCTTTAAACTGCACTAAGTGCATACTAGTTCTACCAATAAAAAACGCTGTTATATGCAGATTTTGGCAGTGAATATTCTGAAGAGAAGTGTCAGAATTCTATCTTTTAATAGAGAAATAAAACTCAATTGATAAATGTATATATATATATATATATACACACACACACACATATACACGATCTAATTAGGGCTAAAACTTTTACGTGGCTAGAAATAAAGTAACAATAAAAGTAACTAGTAAAATCATTACCATTACCCCCAAAATGTAACTGCGTTACCATGAATGTTCTCAGAAGAAAATGTAACGTCATTATCCATTCGTTACTGAAAAAAAGTAACTTGTAACGGTAACGACGTTACAAGTAACGCCAACCCTGATTAAAACAATGCTATTTAAAAAACAAATACATATTTACGTAGTGTGCGCGTACATTTAAACTTATAAGGAAATATTACTTTTTGTCCCACTCGGATTTTCATTAAACTTGGCACCAATGTTCATGTTTCCACCAAAGATAGAAACATATAAAACATCTCGTCGGAAATCCCATGGGTTAAGAAGATACAGAGCGCGAAAGTTTTTGCATAAAAAATAATGAGAATGACACAAACGCACAAAATGTGATTTTGTGTAATATTCTATTATTAAAAAAAGATAACAATTAAGTATAAATATAAAGATTGACTATTGAATGGTCAAAATAAAATACATGCATGCAATAAGCACAATGGAAAAAACTAATATTGGTACAATTTTCAATATTACAAGTATCTAATTCAAATGTAAAATAATATTCTAGTGGAGTTATATAATAATCTTAGACATCGAATTTTTATACAGATATTTGTGCAAACATGCACAAAATATGCAAATTTGTACAAATGTGCAAATATGCATAATATATATAAATAAATATGCATTTTTAGAATGCTTTTTCAGTAAGACAAATTTCTATTTTAATGTTACTTTCCAATCTGCCTTCTAAAGATACAAATAATTGCGTAAGAATTCGATGTCTAAATGATCTAAATGAGAAGATATAAAGTATGCTTTTTCAAAATTAGGCTTTCTATCTTCTCATTTACATCATTATATAACACCACTAGAATATTGTTTCACATTCGAATTAGATACTTGTAATATTGAAAATTGTACTAATATTAGTTTTTTCCGCTATGCACATACGTATTTTGTTTCAATAGTTAAACTTAATATTTGTATATAATTATCTTTTTTATAATAAAATATTATACAAAGTCACATTTTATGCGTTGTTATTTTCATTATTTTTCATGCAAAAACTTTCACGCACTATATCTCCTTAACCTATAGGATTTGTGATGAAATGTTTTACATGTTTCCATCTTTGATGGTGATAAACATTGGTGCCAAGTTTGATTAAAATCAAAATGGTAATGTTTTCTTGTTTTGTATAAATATTAATATTAATTTATCTCAGTATAGTTGTAATTATAAATATCTATTTTACATTTTGTTTTATAAATAATATATTTTATCTATTATTTGTTGGTTATTTACCTATTCTAGCCGTTTTATCAACATCTGATGAACGATCCTTTAACTGTATAACATTATCTTCATTTAAATGATCAGGCACTTCTGAAGAGTTACCTTCCACATTTGCAAAAGACGACTTTTCTTTAGATGTCTAAAATAAGTACAAATATTATTTCATACATATATATGCAATGAGTGCAAAAAGTATTCGTACAGAGAAAATATTTTTTAAAAAAACTTTATTTTTAAAAAGTAAATATTATCCAGCGAGAAATGAGTCATCGAATTAATGTTAAATCAATATCGGTACGATGATTTCAATACCAATTTGACATTGATTTGACGTTTAATTGACGATCATTTCTTGCTGTGTAATTAACAATTTATTCATAAAGAATAAAATAGACTGTATGTTTCTTAAAATTATAATATATCAAAAAAATGTGTATTAATTATAGAAAATATATCATCTGAAAAATAAGCGAAAATTAAAAATTGTATTGTTTGGATGCTCAAAAAGTATTCTTACAGTTGAGAAATTTAACTTCTAAAATCAACAAGGCGAAGCTCATTTGTTAATGTAAGAACAAAATGTATTCATTGTATAAAATTGCTAATTAATGTTTATTTTCTATAAATAAGACTTTTTTTATCACATGTGTATATGGAGATATATATATATATATATATATATATATATATATATATAATCTTCATACACATGTCTTTCCTACATGCAACATGTTTTTCGTTATATTTTAACTTTATAAAGAATAAATACCGAGATAAAATAATGATGTACAAATTATTCTTTAATTACAAAAGATATAATATTAAAAAATTGTTAATGTTTATAAATTTTAAAATGCTATATTAAAGTATCAAGTGTTATTATTAATATCTTCAAATCAGGAGATATACATACTATTTTTTTAGCTATATTTAAACCATTCCAAAGCTTTGTTGACAATGATGGGCTCATTGTTGTATTTGTTGTGCTTAGGTCAGGATTCTGCGTTTCTCCAGAAATTGTAGCACTTGTTATCACATCCTGCTCATGTAGTGTCAAATTCTCATGATTCTCTTCGGCAGAGACGTTTATAGTATCTCGTTCTTCATCAACAGCAGATGGTTCAATATTTATAAAACTGATATAACAAATAAATAAAAATATACATTTTACTTTCTATGGTTAAAATTAACAAAGCATTAATGTAATTTAATATTTTGTAAATATGTATATTTTCACTCACCCATCTCCAGTTAATATTCCTAAAGCATTAGTTAAATCATCAACTTTTTCTTGTCTCAATTTTTCTTCTTTGGCATAACTTTTCTCTATACTATAATCTTCACCACCATTTCTAAGAATTTCCACTCTCAGTATACCATCTCGTGGCCATTCATCTCTTATATGTTCTAAACAATTAGTTGGTGCACGTGAAAATACTATATGAATATAAGCCAATACAAAAAATGCCAATATAGCCTGTAAACAAAAAATTCATGATGTCTTTATATATATATATATATATATTTATTTTATTTTATTACTTCTTTTTTTTTGTTTATTCAAAACTTTGGTATATAAGTTTAGTTTTCAATTTTTAGTTTTTCAGTTTAGTTTGTTTTTTTTTTATTTATATAAATCATTTACTTGTATTAGTAATTTGTTATTTGTAAATAACTTGTATGTTAAATAATAAACATCTTGTGCATACCTTTAAAAGGACTATAAATTCTATAAATCTTCTGACAGGCCTTGGAAATGTTCGTGCATAGGCTAGAGCTGCCTTGATAAATAATGCGTGAAATAATCTATCCCGTACATTAATCAACGGATTTTGATTATTGTTATTTCTAGCTATATTCATGTTATTATTATTTAAAACTGGTCCTATAACACCAGCAAGACTGTGAAGATTATGTGCTACCGCACCGTTTTGATTATTAGGCACTGCAACAGCAGCACCCTCTCCTTGGGACATTTTTAAATATTACATAAATAGCGCCCACAAATACGAGAAGAATTTGTATAATTATTTATATAAAAATCATATTTAAACATATGCAATTTGTCACTTCCAATTAATGTATATAAGCATCGTAGCAAGCCCTAAAAAATAAATAAAAGATTTTTAATTAACAATTAGCAAAATAAGTAAATTCGTTAATATATATATAAAAATTAAAATGTAAAATTGGGAAGGATAAAGATATAAATTCATTCTCAGTACAAATAATTTGTAAAATATATTAGATTTACAGTGCATAACCTATTTATTTTGCATTAACATTTAAATATGCCTATAACAAGACATTTACAATTACATTGAATACAATGCAACACGAGTCGCGCACAAAAACGCATATGCAAAACAGTGAGTGACTGCTGTTTATTACGTTTGTTTATTACGTAATTTCTTGGTCGAAAAAAAGAAAACCTGCCAATTGTCCAAACCATGTAACAATCATATTAATTCCTTCCGTAATCTACAGTAGATATGTTCCATAAAGAAAGATAATACGCCATAATACATCGGCATATGACATTTGACGTAAAACGTCGCCAAATTTTCAGCTTTTTCGAGAACGAATCTGGTACGTCATACCTCGTGACGGGACCGCGAGAAATACGCCAAATCTGTAATTTCGATGACTCCGTTGCGTTTTCCACTACTGTAAATCAAATTGTCGTGCGAAAGTTACGTGTTTACCTAATAAATACGACGATATTCACGAAATTGTCATTTCATCGTCGCGTATGTTTTGACATGCAGTACGCACTGGTATGCACTCGTGTGCACTGTAGATCGTATCCACAAGGCACAATCCGCAGCAAACTTGTCCATACGCGCATGGCGCAGGTTCACCAATCGCGTATTACGCCACGAATCGGCCGCGATTCTTTCTAGGGAACGGATCCTCGCCCACGGATATTTATAGGTCTGTTCGCGTTACATGAAATCTTTAAATATTTTTACACTTAAAATAAGTTAGATATATATTTGGCTTTGAAAAGAAAGAAAGCGAAGATGCCGAGTGCAAAAAGTGCGAGCAACGCGAACAGACCTTATACTGTTCTTGAGCTAGAAACTCGTCTGAGAGATCGTGACTATAGGCCTGTTCTTTTTGGCTGAACTTTTGCACCAGTTCATCTTTTTCCTTTTCTATCCGGAAGGAAAGAAGAGGAAGAAAGATGAACTGGTGCAAAAGTTCAGCCAAAAAGAACAGGCATTATTGTGGATTCATTGTCGTTTCACGGTTGTGCTGGATTCACACTGCATCCAAATTGCGTCGTACGACACTCTGCAACCAATCAAAAAACAGGATTCCGATAGATTTTGCTTCGTATCATCGCAATTCTGTTTTCTGATTGATTGAAGAGCGTCGTACGACGAAAATCGGATACAGTGTGAATCCAGCATAAGACTTAAGCAGTAATGCTGGATTCACTCCCATGGAACTCGTCCAGTGTTGGTGTGAACTGAGTGCGCACTGGTGCGCACTAACTTTTGACCAATCGAAAACGCTAATACAAGAACGTAAGACCGTAAAGGCCCGTCTACAATACACGGAGTAAGAAGTAAGAGTAAGAAATTGACCAATCACAGTCGAATGTAAGAAGAATAATCTGTGATTGGTCAATTTCTTACTCTTACTTTTTACTTCGTGTATTGTAGACGACGCCTAAGACCATACGTAAGCAATAGCGAATCCAACATGTTGGTTTCGTTACTCCTTAACCTCGGGTCTACAACAGGGTTTTAAATCTTAAGCCATAAGAAATGGGCGAATCACAGTCGCTTATTCTTCTCGGATTTGACTGTAATTGGTCAATTTCTTACGGCTTAAGGCTTAAAACAGCTATTGTAGATCCGGGGTAAAGCGGGGAGCACAGACTCTCGCATAACGCATAAGGGTGGAGTCCCATGAAGCGTGTTTGCCGCGTATCGCGTAACCGCGTAACCAATCAATAATCAGTAAAACGCGAAACCACAACAGCGGATCGCTTCTGATTGGTTACGCGGTTACGCGATACGCGGTAAATACACCTCATGGGACTCCAGCCTAACACGTAATGCATAAGGCGTCGTCTACAATACACGGAGTAAGAAGTAAGAGTAAGAAATTGACCAATCACAGTCGAATGTGAGAAGAATAATCGACTGTGATTGGTCAATTTCTTACTCTTACT